GAAAAAGCCCAATGAACATGTAGGTTCATGGTCTGATGACTGAAACCAAATACAGCAGAACTAAATCTCTCTCTCTCTCTTTCAGTTCTTTGGCATGCTGAGTGTGTGTGTGCTGACCTGCAGGAGAGAAGACAGTGGGTATCAGCCTCTTTACTCAGGGGTGTTCGCTTAACAGAACACAAAGATCACTTTTGCTTCCTGAATGATAAAATAGGCTTGTCAAGCTGAAGGCTAAAAGACAATTGATGACCTTCCTGCCAAATTATTTTGTTTTCTATACATGACACAGGAAGAACGTTGTGTATTGACTTGGGAGGGTTTCTTGCAGGTGACGTGGAATGACAATTTCAATATTCACTGCCCTATGGTCACATAGCCTGATCTTGCACACAACAGCTTTCCATCAGGATGTTGTAGGTTGAGATTTGTGACTTCGTGACACCATCCAGACTCCAGAAAGACATTCTTCTGCAGTTCTTCCCTCTACCCTTCCAACGTGCAGAGGAAGTGTTACTTGGAATGGCTGACTGAGACTGCAGGAAGGGTTTCAGTTGCCTGCACAAACATCAGGCCGTTCCCACGGTGTGGTTAAACAGCAGAGGGAACTTCTGAATGCCAGGTTCAAATATTCTCCATGAGCCCCAGGAGTAAGAATACATTTTCTCTAGTGTCTGATGGTGTTTCTAATTATTGTTGTTTTGGTTTTGTTTTTTTCCCTCCTTCTCACAGTCATAAATTGTAATTCACTTCACTGCAGAGGTTGTTAGTGCAAGACAACCCCACATCTGAAGTTTAGAAGAGACATTGGAGTTGTTGCTTGAAGCAACTAGCAAATGTGAACAGCTCCAGGCTAGGAGGGGAAATGTGTCTTGAGCTTTTGGGCTTGGAACATCTCACCTTGGCTTGGTTATTTTGTCTTTTTTAATTATTATTTGACATACAGACTTGCTTATGAAGCAGGGCTTTTGAAAATATTTTTTTTCTCCTTTTACTGATGCTTTCATGGTTTGTCTAAAAGACAAGTCTCTGTTTCATGTGGAAGTTGCAAGAGTTCCTGAGAGGAATACTGCTTTAAAAATGGCCCTTCTTCAACCCAGTTGTCTGTTGATCTGTTGCTTCAGGTGTTTTTGGTTGTTGTTAGAGCTGTGACATGGCAAGGGAGGGAACTCTGAGCTCTTTGTTGTGGAATTGTGGAAAAGCAAGAGTCTATTTACTGATGTGTTTTTTTTCCTTTGGAGAGATAAGCAGTCTATTCTTAGCAATAAATCTTTGTATCTGTAGCTAATTAGAAGAGAAGGAGTTTGGGGTAAAGCTCTTTATTTATCTTCCCCCTGCCCTCAAAAAAAAAAAAGCAATGGATGTTGATGATAGGAGACATCAATGTATATGCTGAAAAGTGCCTTAATTTTTATTGAGGGCCTTGTTTTTTGTTGAATGCCAAAATAAACTGAGTTTATGGAACCCATGAACAAATGTTGTGGCTTGGTTTTTTTGGTGGTGTTCTGACTCCTGGGGAGAAGCTCTGTGGGGCAAAAGCAGCAGAAGACCTGGTCTCCTCTGGGGTGGAAGGCCAGTCCTCTGGTTCCCATTTTAGGATGGCTCCTGAAATGCAGACAAAGAGACATTGTTATTGATTGCAGGTTTGTAGAAAGCTGGGGGGGCTTGGTGCCTTCACACAAATCAAACACATCCAAGGAGATTTTTCAGAAGGTATTTATTAAACACAAAGCTATGAATTTAGGAAGCTTACAAGTCCATCCTCCTTAGAGTGGTTGCCTGGTGATTCACAGAGAGTTATAACATGGTTGCATCACTATTTTTGCCATCAAACATGCTCAGGGGAAGGGTCTTCACCTGGGTGGGGGGCTTTTTGACCTTGGGGGAGTGATTTTTAGTATTATAATGACATGATAATGAGCTAGGTTGACCTAAAAGACACAGTATCTCAAATTCTACAGCTCCAGCTGCCCCAGACTGGTTTAGCTGCCAGTCTTCTTGATTCTCGTGGTTCTTTATCACCTCCTTGCATTCCTTAGGTCCAGTTATCTGTACAGACCTCAAGTCTTCCCTGCCAAGTTGGATTTCCATGAGGTTTAAAACCCTTTGATTCATCCCCTTCTTCAAGGCCTGAATTACTCCAGGGTCTCCCTGCCAAGGGCCGGCTGTGGTGCTGACCCTGTGCCCCTCTTGCCTGCAGGTTGCACATGAGAGACATGCAGCACATCTGGCACAAAAGAACCACAGCTGTTCTACATTGAGGAGTTATTTTCCTCAAGGGCGGAATCCCCAGGAGCCTCAGCCCCTCATCCCCAGGAGCCTCAGCCCCTCATCCCCAGGAGCCTCAGGCCCTCAGCCCCTCAGGCCCCAGCAGCCTCAGCCCCTCCGCCCCAGGCGCC